GCACGCCCTCTGGCAGCCCCGCGTCCCGTGCAGTTAGCGGGGTCGCAGCTCCACCTCGGCCCGCCCTGGCCCTGCGTGTGAAACGCTCCCGCGGGCCGGCCCCTAGTCCCTACTCTCGGGGAAACCTTCCTTGAGCAGACCTTCCCTGGAAATCTCGGTTGGTGGCTCGTCTCTGCTCACGTGGTCCCCTAATGATGCCTGATAGGCTGGGGCCACAGGGGAGGCCTGGGTTCGGGTCCTAGGCTCCCTGGAAAGGCAGGCTGGTCTCCCTGCGCCCTGGTCAGCCCGCTGGAAGGCTGAGGCCTTCCTCTCCTCCCTGCTCCTGGGTCGGTCCCCTCTTAGGGCACAGCCGCAGGCAGACCGGAAGCCAGAAGCTGCGGGAACGGCCGGCCTGGGTCTGGACTGGCCAGGGCGGGAGAAGCTCTGCCAGGGCAGGACAGGGCAGAGCTCAGTACTGACTGAGCACGTGACCTTGAGGACCTTGACTGAAAGTGGGGGAGCAAAGGTGGAAGAGGGAGCGTCCAGCCTGGGTGTGCACGCCCAGGGAGGAGCGGTGTCCAGAGTGACCCTCGACACTGGGGCCAGCTGGGGAAGGGGTTGGGGACCAAGTTGTACTCCAGGTGCTTCTGAAGCTCCAAGGAGAGGTGAAGGCTGGGATGGAGGGTTGACGAGTATTCAGAGAACCCGCCACTCAGGAGGCTGCGATGAGCTGTGTCCTCGGGCAGCCCCCAGGGACAGTTCTTGAGGACAGAGCAGGGAAGAGTGGCGGCCGGAATGGGAGCCATCGGCTCAGCGCTGCTGGAGGAGGTGGGCACAGGGTCCTGCCAGCCTGGGCGGGTGGGCGCCTCGGGAGGGCAGCCAGGCCGCTCGCTTGCTCCTGGCGGGCCTTGATGTGCCCTGGCAACTCCACGTGCAGAGGCCAGAGTCCGCGCTGGGTGGACATGGGCAGGCACAGGAGCCAGGCTTGCCCGGGGTCCCCACGGAGTGTGTGGCGCAAAGATGGGAGAGCCTGGCAGCTGGAAGACGCCAGTGTGTTCACCCCTAGGCTGCGGGACAGCCGGCCACATGGGTGCTTCCAGGCAGGGGAGGGGGACTCGGGACCGGAGGCCCACTGGGTGCCAAGAGGGCACCAGATGGACAGAGCGGAACCTCTGCAAGCAAGCAACTGGTGGCCATGAACTTGAGGTGTCCTGTTTCGAAAGACTAGCCATTCTTTTTCACCCCCGGGGGGGGGGAGGTTTCTGCTATAGGGGTCGTGCACTCAGAGAGACAGAGACAGAAAGCGAGAAATCACCCCCCAGCGGGGATGGCCATGCTGCAGTCCTTTCTCCTCCGTTCTCATCTTGGGCACACAGCACACGCGCCTGGCGTGAGTTTAAGCTACCAGGTCCGGGACTTGAACCACGGTCAACTACATGGGAGTCCAGCGAGATAGCCATTATGCTAACTGCTTGTCCCAAGGTTTAGTGAGTCTTTAAAATGGGAAAAAGCCCTTTGAGAATAAGACAGCCTGCTTCCTTTCCTGATTGGAGACTGTTCAGGAGATGGCTTTCAGCTGTGTTTTACAGCACATCCTTAGCCCGTAGGTGTTTTTAACAGGACCCCGCCTTTGCTTTAGCCACGGGATGCTTTCAAGACCCCTGGTGGGTGCTGAAACCGAAGACACCGCCAAACCCCTCCTG